ACTCATTGTAACAAGATTTGTGAGATATGTCTTCGCGTACTTACCTAAGTGCCATCGGAAGACCCGACTTCTTAACCAGAGTCTCCTGGAGGGAGAGCGTGAATTTGTGTATAGATCTATACGGGACTGACAATCCCGCGCCCTGACTGTTAGCTACAATTATTGTGGGTGACAAATGTCATTAACGGTACTGACGTCCGAAGAACGTCGTATCAGGATATCCGTCATATTAGTATGGTTATAAGAACTCACATGGAGAAAACAACGACTCATTTACGTAGTAATATACTTTTCGAACAAGCTTAAGGGGTAGTAACTATATGATTACTTAGTGGATACGTTAGAGTTATATATAATAAGGATCCGATAGACAGTGGAATGTGTGATTTCCGCCTCATTTCCTGTTCCTTGTTTGGTTGTAGGCTTAGGGCAGATTCACCCATTCAACTGTCTGTCTGATCTCGGTTATATACAACTCGTATGTACTAAGTAATCATAGGAGGGTAGTAACATCGCATTTAGTTTACAGGGCAAACACATCTTCAGCTATTTTTACTTATAAATAAAACTAGGTATCATTAAACTAGGTATGGTAATTATACTTGTGCTTTTCGGTCTTGGAACGATTAAGACTACAAATCGGTTTCATAGAAAATATAGGATTTTCTTGGATAAACATCATTATTTTGAAGGTAAACAGTTTTCGATTTAACTTTCTGAAAACAAATACAATTATTCACTGAAAACAATGTTTTTACAATAGAGTAAGTGGAACTAGGAACATGTTTACAAAAGGTTCAATACTTATTTACAAACTAGTATAACATAAAGGACCTTAAATTGTTAATTCTATGATTTCCTTAGCTTATACATCAGGGCTATATATAAATAATATCTTATAGGTTGTGGAATGTATAACTTCCGCCTCATTTCATGTTCCTTGTTTGGTTGTGGGCTTAGGGGAGATTCACACATTCAACTATCCGTTCGATATTAGATTGTATATAGCTAGTATAAAATAAGTGATCGTAGAAGGAATTATTGTGGTCACCATTTTACTAAGAAAATATAGGATTTTCTGAAGAAAACACATTCATCATATCTAAAAGGATAATTATTATTAATTTTATAATTCCTTAGTTTATACACCAGAGTTATATATAAATAATATCCGATAGGCAGTGGAATGTATGGTTTCCGCCTTACTTCTTGTTCCTTGTTTGGTTGTGGGCTTAGAGCAAATCTACACATTCAACTGTTCATTTGATATTAGTTTATATATAAGTAGTATAAACTAAGTAATCATAGAAGGAACTAGTATGAGCACATTCTTACAAAGAAAATATAGGATTTTCTGAATAAACACGTAAACTTTTCCAAAGAATAAAAGATATACTTTTTATAACAAAAATACTTATGAACTCACCAACTTTGATGTTGACACTTTTTCAAACCACTTGTATTCTCAAAAACGTTAGTAGACAGGTACCCTCTCAGGTGTTGCGAAGACGGAGCATATTAGTATTATGTCTTATATTTTGCTATAGTTTTAATGTAAATCATGAAATGTTTTGAACACAATGTAAACTTTATATTATTAATATAATGGTTGTTGTTGCTTTGATTACAATTATACAATTGTTGTGATATTGTACATGACGTCCTCCGCCCCCGAACGTTTCCGTCGTTCTTGTTTGGGGGTGTGACATCTTAGGTGCTAGTCTGACATCGTGAAGTTGGCATTGGTAGAAAGGAGAGAAATAGGACGTAGGAATGAATGATGGAATGACTTATTTTTTCTGCTTATAACAAGAAGGTTGGGTCAGCTCAAGTAATCCAACAAACAAGTCACTAGAACCATTGATTGCTTTCTTGAATACATTGATATATTGAAGGTGAGTGACATTTTATTAATTACATTTTATATGAAACTTTCTAAATTGCATTTCCTTCTGCTTAATGTTGGGTAAAGCATAGTCTGGAAGGGGGGGGGAGTATATTAGTAATCGAAGGAGATGAAACGACATCAAGTTGGATGGTGCTACAGCTGAAACATGCCAAAGATGAGGTGATTATTTGTATAATAATGTATTAACTACTTGATACTTTATATTGTTAAAAGCTGTTTCAACCTTGCACAAATTTGTCAATAAATAAACTATCTCGAAAATTGGCCTAAGTGAAAAGACTTGGCAATTTACTTTCATTTTTTTTAGTGTTAGTAGCATTTAAATTCTGTTTTTTTAAATACATTACGACACCGGGCCGTCCTTTGGACGACCTTTTGACTTACCTAGTGTGTGTGTGTATATATATATATATATATATATATATATATATATATATATATAGGCCTAGGTTATTCTATTCAAAGTAATTATTGTGTTATTGTATGCATAAATATGGGCCAATCAAATTTACTTATTTTAAGAAAGTGATTAATATATATTATTGAATTAAATATAATTGAAATATCATCTTAAATAATTACAAGGGTAATTTAGTCAATTTATATAGATTTAATAAAGGAAAATTGCATTTTTTAAGGGATCATAGATTCTATTAATTTTAAAAATCCAATTTTACGTATTATAATTTTTTTAATTCGGACATTCTGACAGAATATGTTTATGAGTATATTCAAAAATAAAAATATTCTTGAACCATAAATAATAAAAATATTCTTGAACCTATTTCTTGATCATGAATTTAAAAACTTCTTGTAGAATAACAAATCCTTGAACAATCAATTGAAGAATAAAAACAAAAAATACATTATTTCTTATAGAATACGGGTAACAAAATTTAATAATTACATTTATTGTTAAGGAATAAAACTAAAAAACAATCAAAACGGGAAAGAAAACATCAAAATCTAACGACTAATACATTCTAAAAGAATAATGTGGTCCGTTTCAATTTTGTGGTCTGTTTTTCAAACACCAACTTTTGTGATTCCAACAGAATTGGAATTCGTCTTTCCATTCCAACAGAATTGGGATTCGTGATTCCATTCCAATAGAATTGGAATCTCACCAATATCATCAATTGAATCATCTACATAAACACTCTTCCATTCTCTATTCTTTTCTGCATCGATTCACAATCAATATTTAATACAAAAGAAAAATCACCCCTGCATTCCTTCTCTTCTTCGTTTTCAGTCAAGAACACACCACCGAAGTGGATGTTTTCTAGTGCAAACAGAAGAGATCAGCAGCTCCTTTCTCTTATTCTTCTTCTTCTTCTTTGATTTCTGCCAAGAACATCAAGAGACCAACAGCCTCTCCCTTTTCCTTTTATCTTTCCCTATTAAAAGAATCAAACAAACAAAAAAACTCCCCTTAGATCGTTTTCTGCCTGCTTCCATTTTCCTTCGTTGTTGGCTGTTAAATCAGAAAGAAAGGGGGAGCAAGGAGATTACCGGAGCAGCCCCCCATCGCATCCCACACATTCTTCGGTCAAGCAAACACCTCCGAAAACCTCACATGTGCCGCTGCTTTGCTGCTCCTTGTCGAGAGCTCCGTCGTCGTCCAACTCCGAGTCGGAATCGGAACTTGATGCAGACTGGAATAAAGGGGTAATGGCTGCTGGAGGGACAATGGTGGGGGTGTCGGTTTGTTCAATTTAGGGTTTTCAGAATCAGTTTTTAGATAAAGAGGGGAAGGAGATTTAAACCGGAGAGATACCATGATTATAGGGATTATTTTTGGAAGTTATTAAACAAATGACTAAATTACCCTTATTTATTTATTTAATTATTTAATTTTGATTGACCCACATTTATGCATACAATAACACAATACTTACTTTAAACACCTGAACCTATATATATATATATATATATATATATATATATATAATATATATATATATATATATATATATATATATATATATATATATATATATATATATATATATATATATATATATAACGTAAGTCTTTACAAAACAAACAATAACTTATAAAATTTATAAATGCAAATATTGTTAGGGAAAAGTTCAATAAAGAACCATTATTAATCAAAGAACCAAGGAATCAATCCAAAGCGTCGGAATTTAAAACGATCAACGGCAGAAGGAAGGGTTGTAAAATTTTATAATTGACGCACATGTACCGGATTATAACAAAACTCACTTCCTTTTTTTCATTTAAAATTTTTTTTAGGCCAAGTTTTTTATCGAAAAAAAAACCGAATATACCGTTGTTCACGATTTTTCGTCCTCTTTCCATAGAGATCAATGATGATATATAAAAAACGATTTTTTTCGAAAAAAACTCACTAAATTTTCTTAGTTTTTTCAATATTTAAGTTTATTTTTATCAAAAAAAAACTAATTATACCAAAAAATATTAATTTTTTGTACTCTATTAATAACATCAACACCGATTAAACAAAAAATAAAAAATAAAAAACCTCGAACAGTGTAGATTCACACTGTGTTTAACATGAATATGAATCTATGTTTAAAAAGTACAAAAAATATGAATTTTGATATATTTATTAATTTTTTTCTATAAAAAATAGACCTTAACTTTTTTCATTAAAGAAAATAAAGTGGGTTTTTTTCGAAAAAAAAAAGTTCGTTTTTTATATATATCATCATTGATCTCTATGGAAAGAGGACAAAAAATCGTGAACAACGGTATATTCGGTTTTTTTTTTTTTTTGATAAAAAACATGGTCTAAAAAAAATTTTAAACGAAAAAAAGTGGTGGGTTTTTTGTAAAGGTTGGATTTTTTGGTATAATCCGGTGTGTGTACGTCCAATGTAAAAATGTACATCTATTTCCTTGGCCGTTGATCGTTATGATTTCCGATGCTCACGATTGGTTCCTTGGTTCCTTGGTTAATTATGGTTCTCTATTGAACCTCACTCAATATTGTTATTGGTTTGTTATCAACATTTTAAATCCAATTAGAGAAGTACAAACAAAACAGAAATATATATACACTAATGGAATTAGTTTACATCTCATTTTCACTTAATCTCGAACGTGTGACAAACTTCTATTCCTTCAAATTCCAAATCCTGCATAACAATTTGCGCATCAAGCGTCCTCTTAAATTTTTCTCTCCATTACGAGGTTGTTTGTCGCTCGAGATCTTTTCAGCAATCTCGGTGATGATGGTGGATTCTCCCCTGTACAGATTTCAGTATATTATTAGGTAATTAATTGACATGAAAATTCTAGAGTAATTAGCTTCGAACGAACCATAATACATTATTAGTACTGTTATATATAGGCTCGATCGATTCTATTATTCAGCTCTATTTATGATCATCGGAGAACTAAGCAATTTTTTTGGACGATTATTAATATTATATTAGAATAATACTACCAAGACACTAAAAGAAATACAAGTATTAGGGCGACGATTTTATGGCGACCAGACCTTTAGCGATGACATCGAGCCAAACGTCTTTAGGGGAGACACGTCTTTAGTGGTGAGTTAATTGTTAAGTAATAATTTGGTTTTTTATTTTTATTTATTTTATTATTTTTTTGTGTTTTAAATTGTATACTTACTTTGTAGGCGGACATTAATGCTTATCTTCAAAAGCCGGTGTTTGTAACGGTGTTGGGAGATAATTCAATCTTTTACTAGCCCATACAACCAAAAATCCGAGGAGGGGAACGACGATCAAGACAATGAGGGGAACGACGATTGAGACGATTAGTTTTTTTGTTGTAACAAAATAGTTAAAAACATATTATTGATTTTTTAGTAATTATGTTTATTACATGTGTGTAATGCAGTTTCCGGATATGTTTTTCTGCATTCATATATAAAAATCAAATATTATGGATATAAGCCTTTAACAGTGGCTTTTAGTATCTTTTGCCACCAAAATATCCGCCACTAAATCACTAATGCTCTTAATCCTTATTGTGAGAGGGTCCGTAGCCACATGAAGCCAACTGGCTACAACAAGACTACAAGTTCGTACAAGCCAAATGAGAGGGTTACGACCTATCAGGCCATTTAAGACTTGAAAATCTTGATATTGGAACAGCATATAAATTTACATAAAATAATAATATAATATTAGAACTAGATATTGGAAAAGATTAAGAATTTGGATTCGCTACTTTTTTGAAATCACATATAGTTAAGAACCGGTCAGTGGCCGACTTCCTCTTTCTTAGTCGTATTAGCATTTATAATTTGGAATATCCAACATCGATGATGTTCCAATATCCTTGCAGAGCCATACTTTTCTAGTTTCTAATTTGCAAGTGTACAATTATACTGGTGAACTACAATAAATTCTCCTGCCCTTAACTTTTTATGTGGTTATGTTTTTACATTATTGGTGATACACCGCGGATTATATTTTGTAACTTCAAACGTAAATTTACAGCCCAGTCAGTTCGCCAACGGTAAATAGATGAAGTCCGAATACTATTGGCAATAGGAAATTATTCCATAGTAGTACAGAGGGATAGCAAATGGATTTGCACAAATCTTTATCATTGATTCCACGTAATTCATATGTGTCTAAATATGTGCATTAGGAATACAAGCAACATTAATAACAAAATAAACGTTGTTCCTAATGTTTCCACTTTACCCCCGATTTTTTTTTATCGTCTGTGCATATCATTAGAAAAAAAGGTGATGAGGTTTTGGTAGCCATGATTAAATGCCTGTGAAATATAGGAAAACTTACCCATTGCCGACCGAGACATGCCAGCCAGATAAATCGGATGCTGCGACTAAGGCTTTCCTCCAGTTGTTCACTTTGTTCAACTCTCCCCTAAACTTCTTCTCGTGTCCCTGAAAGGCAATATCAAAGTCTCCTTTCTGCCCACGCACATGGGATGGGTCTACGTGATACAAAACCGGAAACACCTTCTGCCCCACCCGATCTTGGCATTCCATGATTTTGACAAGTTCATCCAAACACCATGTAGAGTGCGCATAGTTTTTAGAGAAAACAACCACTACAAACCTCGATTCTTCAATGGCTTTCAGCAGCTCCGGAGAGATCCGTTTTCCTTTATCTAGCGCCTTGTCGTCTCTGAAGGCATGTATTCCTTTTTGAATTAGAGCCGAATAAAGATGATCTACAAAGTTGTTGCGAGTGTCTTCGCCTCTAAAGCTTAGGAACACGTCATATGTACATCTTCTAGTTGGTAAAGAAAATGATGAAAAAAGAAATGACATGACGAAAGCCATTGAAGGTTTCAAATAATTGAAGAGCCAAAATGATATCACTTGAATGCACAAAACAAGTAATGGTCTTTGGATCTGCAGGACGACTTCTTTTTATACTAGAATTTTTTTCCATTTCGTCCTCTGTTATTATATCTACTAGTGGAGTCTTAATTAATGGGGGGACGAGGTCTTTTATTCTAATTCCATCTCATTTCAAATGGAATCTTGGAAAAAACCACTAACTTAATTTTCTGCAAGTTGATAGCACCAAACGTGGTATGGTTGTCATATTGACTTTAAACGTAAACTTGATAGCTTATGTGGAGCATATAGATGATTTGGTAGAAGTCGTTTTGGAGGAGTGAAAGAAAAAGAAAGGGGCCAAAATAAGTCCAACATAAAAAGGATGTAGAACTTGGAGATGTGCGACACATCGATGGACCAGAGCTTTTGAAAGGTCATTTGCCCCTCGGTTAATCCACAATCTCCACTTTCCAGGCCTCCAAATCACTATCTTCCTGAATTTCTATCCATTTTGGTAATTTTCCTGACTCAGTTTTAATAATTAAATATGCCCTTTTTGTGAATTTATTAATTCTCCATGTTTAGTTGGCAGTTTCAATCCATATATTTAATGTTAATTTTTATTTTTCAAATTTGGATGTACCTCCCAAATTTAGTCTAACACTTTAAAGACATCTTGAAATTTAATAAAGAATTCCCTTTGATTACTCGAAATTTAATAAACAAGTCCCTTTGATTAGTTCTATTACTCTTGCTTCGTTATGAGTCGGTTGGTATAAGAGCTCATTTTCATGACATTAAAAGTGGTCCACAATCGAATTGAACCCTAATGGCAAATGTTTTACTGTTGTGGATCCTTGGCTTGTAGTTGATAATATCATTGTTCTCCCTCGGGAATTATAGCTCTCCCACCTCACGCTCTTTCAAATTCTAGCTCCTCTCTATTCTCCCTCGTGAATGACTCATTTGTTATGGGATCTTCCTCGATTTTGATATTGGGAAGGATGTCCATGATGAGCGTATCTCTCATATCAATAACGCGTCAACTTTGATTAAGCTGCTATTCCAACAAACATGTAGATTTGTCGAATAAGGTCTCTTGCATCATTGTCTCTATACACTCGATGTTCCAAAAGGATCTTTTGTGAACATGTGAGCATAAAAAATGTATGTGCAATTGAGAGAAATGTTTCACTAATATACAAGGAAAGAGAGTGTAACATCCATTTTCAGGTATGATTTTTATATTCCAATTGTGAGACATCTGATGGTCACGACGTGGTGAAGGGATCACCACGATGTGACATTCTGCCAGTATCGTGTATTTCATTAAAGGTACCACGACGTGGTCATGACGTGGTCATGCATTGGACATATCGTGGCGACATATTTTTGGCAAACCTTAAATTTTCGGGCCTTGAGCCATATTTAAAGGAGGTGATGGCTAGGGTTTCCCCCACCCTCAACCTCTATCACCTCCAAATCACTTTTGTTAAACCCTAGCCTCCCTTTGAAGTTTTTGACTCTTTTTGGTGGTTTCGTGACCTTGGAAGGAAGAATAAGGAGATCTTATGCATATATGGTCAAGCAACTTGTCTCTACTCCTTCTGTGCATCTTCTGAAGATGTAAATCCTCAAGTTTCCACCTTTTTGGTTCTCTCTTCATAGATCTAGGTTTTATATCATTTTTTCGATTCATATTGAGTTTGGGTTGGATAGATGAGATAAATTTCACATTTTTATAGCTCACCTTGGTCCCTTGGTCACTATATCTTCTAGATCTAGAAGTTGAGCAAGTTTTGAGAACCATACATGAGTCTTAGGATGTTTTCTCAGATTTTTTGATGTAGTTGGGCGAAGGACATGCATGGGTTATGCATGTCCATAAATTTTGGATTTTTATGGACCAATAGGGTCCTAAGAAGCTTACTCTAAAGTCTGAGCAAGGAGCATTTCAGATTAAGGACTCAATCCATTAAGTTGTCCAAGTAAAGTACCTACGACGTGACAAGTTAGGTGTCACGACGTGGCGAAGGCAGATGTCACAACTGTTTTGCTAGGACCCATCCAGGACGTGGTAGCAGATTATTTTTATTGTGACTATGTTGGATGGCCACGACGTGGCAATGGGTAAGCTACGCCGTGGAGGTCAGCTGGACTTGACTTTGACCGCTAACTTTTGGTCAAATGGCTAGTTTTAGAGTGTAGGTTAAGGTTTAACTTATATGTTCATATTTATACATATATTTAGACATTATTTTAAAACATTTTAAGCTATATTTTGGTTATTTACACAAATATTTGGTACTTATTGAGTTCAATTACATTTTGCAGCCAAATATGACATTCTTGAGGAAAAAGGACCAAAACCGATAAAAGCTAAGACCTAGAAGGACTGTAATTGAAGATGGGAGCTTAATGGAGAATAAACGTGTTGGATTAGTGTCTAAGTCCATAACTATATTTGGTATGTACTTGATCCGATTATGAGGATGGTCATTTTGGGTTGCCTTCACCGTAGCAACTTGACTGGATGATTAGTGGAGAAAGAGAATATTATGGTTTATTAATATATTATATGAATAATAAATTAAAAGATAAATCATGTTGATTAATTAATATTGGTCAAGAGTTAATTAAGAAATTAATTTTATGATCAAAATATATTAACTAAACTTAGGGGACTGGAATTGCAATTATAAGATAATTGGATTTTGGGTTGTGGATCATATGGATAAAGGAGTGGACGAAATTAGGGTGGAAGCCCACCTTGAAATCGTCCAAGGCCTTATTCCAGAATGTTCCATTGGACTGCATAAGGCCTAAGCTATCCAATTAGGGTCTTGACTGAAACCCTAGCAGCACCACTATACAAGGAACCCCTAGGGCTTCAGAAATCGGCCACTGGAAACCCTAAGAAGTCTTAGAGCCGATTTTGAGCCTCTCATCCTATCTCCAAGATCATCCAACTTGCTTTGGTGTTTGTGATCCATTAGAGGCATCACATTTGAGGTGCTAGGTTCTCATAAGCTAAAGATCTTCAATCTACACACAAGGTAATCATCTAAACTTGTTTCATTTGATATTTTCGGATTTTGTATGCTAGATCTAGGGTTTGTAGGCTTTAGATAATTTGCATGTACAATAGAGAAACCTAGATCCAAAGCTTTAGGATTTGCATGTGCACCATAGGATTGTTGTATTGCTCAAAACCCATCAGTGGTATCAAAGATTTGATTGGTTTCTATTGTATTTGATGCTTTGTATATTTATTCATTGCTTAAAATCGAAATTTCTGCTTTCTGCCTGAGAAACTCGTCGAGTCACCTGATGAACTCGACGAGTCAGATGAACTCGGCGATTCGAAGTGTCAGACAGAGGGAATTTCGGGATTTTGGCCTATTTTGACTTGGGATAATTACCAAAAATGTTTTTGATTGATAAAATCCAAATTTTATTAATATGATGTGACTATCCTTATCAAAATAGAAGATAATTGTCAATTATTAGATCATTATTGTCTTATATGATAAACTTTAATTATTTGAATTATTTTAAAGAATTATCTTGCCATGGAATTGGATTAGGTCAAAATTAGATAATCACCAATTAATTGTTTAATTATATTATTTGAATTTTGATCTAGAAAGTTTTGAAAAGTTTCAAAACTTGCCCTCAAGTTTTGGAATTTAAATTTTTGATTAAAAAGTTTAATTTTGAAATATTTAAATTCTAAACTCTAGAATTTTACAAGCTTAAAATTCAACCCTTATACTATTATAATATTATAAGAATAATGATTATATATATGTATAAGATTAATGCTAGTCTTACCGTTAGTAAGCCTCATTCACGAAGCCGATCTATAAGGGGGGTATAAGGTTGCTACCTATAAAATGGCAGTTTAATGGGTGTCCACTCTCACCCACCGCTTCCTTGATTGGTGGAGGGTCGTTAGCCGAACTGGTAGGATAAGGCAACTAATTCCTCATTAAAAGTATAATGGTTAATAAAGTAACTAAATGTTTTTTTATAAAATTCCCAATCTTAGTTACTTTAGGAAAAATGTGAAAATGATGTTATTCCATGAAATTACACTTTGTACCCTTGCCAAAACGTTAGAGAAGCGTGTGTGGTTAATCGGCACACTAATTTGGGTCTAGCAAAGGTGGCAAAGGGTGACTCGATGTTTGTCATAGATCAATAAGGCGTGTGTGGTTAACTGGCACATTGATTAGGTGACTGTAACATTGAGGGCACCAAGTACATTTGCATGGTTAGTCACATATTGTTTGTGATCCTCGGTATCCCAGTCACAAACTTCAAGGGCATATCGAGATTTAAACATGCCATTGAAAAGTTCAATGAATCTCAAAAGATCTAGGAGTTTCAATACATTTAAAACTCAATTTTTGTTTTGTTTTTCATGGTGGAAATTAGTGAATCGTCATTCACTTACCTTCAAATTATTTGCGATTTAGATTACAACATCCCTCTTCTAAATTGTGAATAATGTATTTGGATCCTAGACCTAATTCTCAATTGGGTGTTTAATTGGGGATTCTTATCTAATCAAACTTTGTCTCTCTTCTTTTTCAGATGTCTGCCTCAAACAACAACAACGCTTCTGGCTCGAACTCTTCCGGCTGATTCTCACTCATGAATTTGTGTGGGAGGGTGATTTTCGATGGGACCAATTTCAATGATTGGATCCGCAAAATTTAGTTGGTTACCCGCTACGATGAAAAGGAGTATGTCCTCGACAAAGAGCTGAAAGAAGTGAATGTCAACATTGCTACTCCCGAGGAGATCGCTGCCTTTGAGGCTCATGAGCGCGATGCTACGAAAGTCCATTGCATTAGGCTCGCGACTATAACTGCCGAACTCCAAAAGTCCTACGAGGACTTCTACCCCTATGAGATGCATCAGGATTTGCTGGACAGGTACCACCAAAGTGCGAGGAAGGAGAGGTACGAGATTATCACTTCGATGATCACTACCAAGATGAGGGACGGAGAGTCCATCATGACCCATCTGTAGAA